TTCTCAATTTCCTTATGGCTTCTTCATTATTAGCATATAGAAATGCAACTGATTTCTGCACATTGGTTTTTATCCTATAACTTTGCTGAATTTGTTTATTAGCTCTAACAGATTTTTTTGGTGAAATCAGTAGGGTTTTCTACATAAAAGATCATCTCCTGTGCCAAAAGAGACTGTTTTACTTCTTCCTTTCCAATTTACCATGCTTGATTTTTATCCACAGTGTCCATCCCCATCTGACATACCATAAATTTACTGGTGTATTAGTTTATTGTCTGACTCCTCCAGGACTAAAAAGTAAGTTCCATAATGACAGGTACTTTTTGCCTACTTTTTTCACTGCCCATTGAACAGTGCCTGGCTCATAGTAGGTGCTCAACAAATAGTTCTGAAGTGAATGAATCAACTCACCTAACACCCCAAAGGGACTTAGCAAATGGTAGCAAGAAATAATTATTATTACTTTTTTACATAATATTTTACAGCAAGAGTAGTAAGTAAGCCTTAAAATGAAAAGTTTTTGTTATGAAGAATGATTGCAGTGTCAAAAAATAAACAGCACCATGATTCCAGCTACACTGGAGTCCGTGGGCAGGCCCCAACTCACTCCCTGGCATGCCCTTTCAAATAATCCCTGTGGCCATCACAGATGACAACTCAGTTCAGGTGCCAATCTACACAGAGGGTCTTCTGTAAACAGGCCACTCTGTCCCGTCATCCCTGTTCAAATCCTCCACGATATCCCATGGGGCCAGGGCTGGCCTGGCCAGAGCACTGGCCAAGTGGCCGGTGTCCAAAATCTGCGGAGCTGGAGCTGGGACAGGGACTCCTGCCAAAGGCAGCACACAGGACCCAGAGCCAGGGCAGCCTGTCACAGCCCACTAGGAAGAGCTTGGGTTCCAGTACAAACAGAAGCCAGAGGGCCGAGGATGGAGCCAAGGCCAGGGCGACAGAGCCAAGACTCAAAGTAAGTAGGTCGGTCAGGAGCCAGTCTGGGGTGGGTGGGGGAGCTGTAGCCGTCACAGTCTGCGGGACCAGCCGGAGTTGGCACTGGCATTTGTGGGCAACAGGTGGGGCCCGGGTGGAGCTGACATATAGGACCAGGGGCAGAGCAGACATCCTCAGCCTCTTGGCATATTCCCGGCTCAGCTCCTTTCCTGCAACACCCTCGGCTTAAATATAACACTTCCTGGGAAAGGCTGTTTCTTTTCTCTGGGGCTAATTAGGAAGGTAACCATGTTCCCCATTCCCGAATGCCTTCTAAGGTGAGCTGACCTTAGAATATTATTCCATTTTAGATCTGATCACCCACCTGATATTTCTCTAAACGCAAAAACACCCTAAACTGAGATTATCTAAAATTCTAATCAAAATAATAGATAATTATAATAAATATATATATATAGTGCCAATATTCTGGCAGTTCCCCTTCGAGCTGCTAAGATTGGGCTTCCTGAGAAAACAGTGAATGATTTAGATCAAAAGTTCTCAAACTTTATAGTGCCTGGACCCCTTTACACTTAAAAATTGTTGAGGATTCCAAAGAGCTTTTGTTTATGTGGGTTGTAGCTACGAATTTACCATATTAGTAATTAAAACAGGGAATTTTAAAAATATTTATTCATTTTAAAATAACAGCAATAAAACCATTATATGTTAACGTAAATAGCATCATTTTATGAAAAATAATTACAATTTCAAAAAGAAATTCCATGAAAAGAACGGCATTGTTTTATTAGCAAATTGTTTAAAGATCTGGTTCAATCTGGTTTAATAAAAGACAGCTGCACTCTCATATCTGCTGTTACACTGTTGCGACGTGCTGTTTTGATTGAAGTTTATGATGAAAACCCAGTATCTCACACACAGGCAGTCAGACATCTACTTTCTGGGTAGCACCTGAAAGGGTCTTGGGGACACCCAGGGTCCTCACACCATGCTTTGAGAACCACCGGTTTGGATAACGATGGTGCTACCCCCATGCCCCTCACCCATGTGGACCTTGGAGATGAGGAGAAAACGGGTTCAGGATGGGAGAGAAGATGATTGTGGGTGAGAGGCATGGAGGAGTCACAGGGTTGGTGCTTCATTATCCAGATACATTGGCCAAGAGCAGACTGACCCAACTGGCTCCCTCCTGGGGGAAGGAGATGCTGAGATAGAGTTTCCCGATGAGCCAGCCCTGGACCACAATAGGACCATTTGGTAGGGACCAAATGCTGAAAGGAAACAATTTTGGGGAGACGTGTCCTGGGGAGGGAAGCAGAGTGCAGCAGTACTCACCCCCAGATGCATTCCAGATCACCTGGGGGACTGAAGTGCTGATTTGATTGGCCTGAGCAAAAGCCTGGAGAGCAGGGGTTTGAAAGCTCCCCAGGTGATTCCCGTGTGCGGCCAGGATGAACACTGAAGTGGGCTCAGGAAGCAGACCACCTGGGTTTGAATCCCTGCTCCATTAGCTATATATACAACTCTCACTAGCTGTACAACTAACCTCAGGCCAATTATTCAGCATCAGTTTACTTGTCTGTGAAATGGGAGGGTCATGAGGGATGTTGTGAACACTCAGTGAGATCACCCATTTAGAGTTCCTGGCGCTGTGACTGGCAGGGTACGTACTGGGTAGGTTGGAGCTGTTGCTATTTGTCACGGAGATGATCAGAGCAGCTGTCAGCCTCTTTTAGCTTCCAGGGACAAGTGTCTCCAAGGAAGCTGCCCCACATACAGGACAAGGCACTGCCATAAAGTAGATGTACGACGTGGGTCTTCTGTCTCCTCGTCTGGAAATACAGGTAGTCATCTACTCCCCCCACCCAGGATCCAATCCTAGGTCTTCAGGGGAACGAGAGAGCTCTTGGCTGAGGTGCACAAAGGTGATGTCACTAGAAACAGGTGCAGGAGAAGTCGGCACAGAGTGCAGTGATGGTGCTCACGCTGTGTATGTCTGTGTGTGCGCGTACCTACTCTGTAGTCAGACTCAGATACTGTTTTTTCCCTTTAAAATTATTGGAACATCTCAAATCTATTACAGATGGCAGAGAGGAAAACACAGAGTGGAAATATTTTAATGGCTTATTCTTGGCCTGTGCACTGTCCATAGAGACCTGGAACGAATGTGGCTCCCTCCTCATTTGTCCCTGAGAACATCATCATTACACATCACACGCCGCTTTCTGCCTCGGAGCTCATCAGATCATCCACGAAAGTGAACAGCCACGGGGGCCAGGGAAAGACAGGTGAACCTGGCACGCTCCCTGCACGGGCGGAACGGCCATGACGCCATCGTTTTATTAAGAGGCAGGATGAATCATGTAACACTTCTTCTAGAATTAGTGGCTGTGGACAGCTCCTCCAGCTGTTTACAGGGTGGAATCTGAGAGCCTTCAAACACAGATGTGCCACTGAGTCTCATGACACCCGCGCTCCCCGAGATGAGCCTGCCGTGCGGATGGCCGGTTTCATTTCCTTCGGGTTTATTGGCTTTTTGAATTCACACAGAGAGAGGTGCCAAACAGGCCAAGATAACTAACAGAAATGAACTGGAGGGAGCGTCCAGGGCCAATCCTGTGCCTCCTGCAGGAACTATATCTAATCACCCAGGACACAGAGTTGTCCAGGCTGCCTGAGGCCACTAAGGGAGCCAGGAAAACACAGAAATAATTGGATCCAGGGCTCAGCACACTTCATCAGGAGCAAGATTACAGAGGCTAATCCTTCAGACTCAGTGGGTCGAGTGGCAATTAGCAAGCCTCATTAAGGGATCAACCCTCACTTCCGGGTCTTGAGGATTGACACTAAGTTAAGCCATAGATATGTTGGGCTGATTAAGGGAGCAGGAGGCTGGCCCCATGCCAAGATTTCACCTTCCAAACAGCCCCACGCCGAACGTGTTTGGAGGCCAGACTCTGATACAGTGTTTAGAAGCAAAGAGGGTTGCTTGTTTTTTTTTTTTTTCTTGTTTTGGTTGTATTCACAGCAATAAATGTACAATCCATCAAGAGGCAATTAACTAGCTTGAAAATCTCTGCCAAACTGCTAGGTATGAAATGGTTTCTTAGGCTTTGCAAACACGCTGCACTCTACCACGTGGGCATTTTCCTCTGCCGAGTGAACGACACGCTCGCCCTCTCAGCGTGACACTACAGGGCCCCTGTCGGCATCGGCATCGGCATCGGCATCGGCATCGGCATCAGGGGAGAGCAGAGGTGGTGCCAGGCTCTGCCTGTAACTCCTTCCTGACAAGGCGCCGGATTCAGTACTTGTCTCCTCAGGACAGCCTACCGAAGGTGTGGGCGTGGGGAGTCTACTCTCAAGCCTGGAGTCCAGCCCCTACTGGCTCCTGAATGGGGAGGACCCCCACCCTGCAATCCTCAGACTCTCCCTCCACAGACCACGCTGGGCAGTGAAAGGGCCCAGCTCATCGTGGGACGGGTTCACACGCTCAGCCGGCTGCCACCCTGGTTCAGGCTTCCCCTAGGGGTCTCACCAGGACGTATTTCTTTCCCTGTGTACAGTGTCAGGTTAAGAAAGGCGATGAAGCTGAAGGAAATGGAAATGAATTTAAACTTAGCTAAAATATGTACCTCCTAATGCTGATATCACAAAGGAACTCACTAATCACATGGCCTTTCCTTCATTCTTTCTTGTAAAAGAATGCTTCAAAAGCCTCTAGAATGAGTTATTTCTATTTCTCAGCTATTTAACTTTATGGCTAAAGTTATATTGGTTTTGTGAACAAATATTTTATTCCTTCTGCTGATTCTCCTATTCCCTAGCCTGTGAGCTTGGAGAAGGGAATGTGTGGGCTCAGGGAAGGGGGTCTGATAGGCAGAAAGGGGGCAGAGAAGGCACTCCCCTCCACCGCCGACACCTGCTGCCAGCCTGCCCCGGCATGAGATCAATGTGCTTATGCAAGTCACAAAGCAAACAAAACAAAATATCTCTCTCTCCCTCTCCCTCTCTCTCTCTCACACACACCCCCAAATAACGATGACGCTTACCTGTTCCTGAATTGCACGCTTTACCGGAGGTAGACCCATGGTAAAATTCACTCTCTGAATTGTCAAAGCTCTCATTTCATCCAAACTTAAATCATACCTGTGTAGAACAGACACAAAATAAGACATTGAATTGCTGGTGACGGAGTGGAGGTTCTGAGATGCTTTGAGCCAGGGCTCAGATAGAGCAGATGTCTCTGTTGTGTCTGTTGTTGGACACTGCGTACACTATGTGTGTCACACAGACTGTGTGTTCAATACAGCTGGCCAAGTGGGAGGAGAGAGAGAAGGATTTCCTGACAAGAACATCTTAAAACAAGACTGCAGCTCTCCTGCTCTGCAGGGCTTTAAAGATTGCAGACACTCTCATGTGTTTGAGATGCCCGAGAGCAACATTTGTGACATGCGGGAGAGGGCGTGACCTGTGTGTTACAGGGGTGAACTGTGGTGGCCATAAGGAGGGTCACTCAGGGAGGCCTTCAAGAGCACCTGCCCGCAGCTGCCACAACTTTGAATTAACTGCAGAGGTCACCCCAAGGCTGCTCTTGTCTAGGCGGCTCCCAGCTGATGATTGAGCACAGTAGGTTCTAGAGTCAGGCCATGCCTGCCCAGTGGGTGCCTTCTGCTCCAGGACGCCTCGCTGGCCCTTGGAGACTTCGTCACACTGCGCTGTGGTGAGAGGCTTCCCCAGCTCCACCCTTTCCTCCCTCTCTCCCTTCGTGGGGGCCAGACCTGCTGCCTGCATTCTGGAGGGTCTTCCCGCCAGTCCAGCTCCCTCCTCCTTATCCTTCACGGGTGTTTTCCCCCAATAAATCTCTTGCACGTCTAGGCCACCTTGGTGTCTACTTCTCAACTGACACAGGAGGAGAGGTTCCACCTCTGCCATCTAAGATGTTTCAATGCAAAGCACAGCCTGAACCTGGAAGACCCTCACTCAGGTTCGATTCCTGGCTCTGCCACTAATTATGTGGCCAACATCAAGGGACTTGGCCTCCCGCTATCTCCATCCTCTCATCTGTAAGATGGGAGTGATAATTGTACCTAACTCAGCAGCAAACTCTCAGGAAAACTCTAAAACTAGGAAGCTATGGAGCAATCTCATCAGACAAGAAGATGCGTGCAGAGGCCTCAGTCATTCAAATGGTGCAAAATAGGCAGATAGACCAATGGAACAAAATACAACACTGAGAAACAGAAGTAAATTTACATGGAAATTTAATATATGTAAGACAAACCCGGT